GGCCCGCCGCGCCCGCCAGGTCAGTGGGGACACGGGGGACAGCGGGGACAGCAGGGGGTCCCGGCGCCGGTGGGTGCGGTTGGTGCCATGCCAGCGGCCCGTGGGGCAGCGCCAGGGGGGTCAGTGCGGGCGATGAGACCCCAGAGCCCCTGGGAAAAAAGGGACAGAACCAGAACCTGGAACCTGAACCCAGAACCTGGAACCACAGCCCGGAACCCGAACCCAGAACAAACCCAGAGCCAGAGCCTAGAACCAGAGCCCAGCCTAGAGCCTAGAGCCCAAACCCAGAACCCAGCCTAGAACCCAAACCTAAACCTGAGCCCAGACCAAGAGCCAGAACCCAGAACCAGATCCCAGAACCCCAGCCTAGAAGCAGAGCTAGAACCAGAACTCAGATCTGTGGCTTAGAGCCCAGAACTAGAATCTAGAACAAGAACCCTGGCCTAGAACCCAAACCCAGAACCCCAGCTTAGAACGCAGAACCTGAGCCTAGAACGAGAACCCAGAACCAGAACCAAAACCTGAGCCCAGATCAAGACCCAGAGCCTAGAACCACAGGCTAGAAACAGAACTAGAACCAGATCCCAAAACCCAGAACTAGAACCAGAACCCAGAACAAGATACAGAACCCAAACTCAGAACCCCAGTCTAGAACCCAGAACCAGAACCCAGAACCAAAACCTGAGCCCAGACCAAGAGCCAGAGCCCAGAATCCCAGGCTAGAACCAGAACTAGAACCAGAACCCGAACCCCAGCCTAGAGCCAGAACCAGAACCCAGAATCAGACCCCCAGCCTAGAACCCAGAACCAGAACCCAGAACCAGAGCCTAGAACCCAGAACTAGAACCAGAGCCCAGATTCCAATCCTAGAAACAGAACCCAGAACCAAAACCCGAGCCCAGACCAGGAGCCAGAGCCCAGAACCCAGCCTAGAACCCAAATGCAGAACCCCCGCCTAGGACCCAGAACCAGATCCTAGAGCCAGAGCTAGAACCAGATCCCAGAACCCCAGCCTAGAGCCCAGAACCAGAACCCCAGCCTAGAACCAGATCCCAGAACCCCAGCCTAGAATCCAGAACCAGATCCCAGCCTAGAACCAGATCCCAGAACCCCAGAACCCAGAAGCAGAACCCCTGCCTAGAGCCAGATCCCAGAACCAGACCCTGCGCCCAGCCCCAGCCCAGCCTCCAGCCCCCCGTGCCCGGCGCCGCTGCTGGCGT